ACTACTTCTACTACTAGACACTACTGTACTTTTTTATATATCTTATTTGGGATTGAAAATTTCATAATGACTTTACTGTCTGAACATGATGTTATCCAAAAAGGAAGAGCACAATTTGTTGATTGGCTGTTCGAATGTCAGATCGTTAACTAGCTCGTTCGCTGATATCAGAGAGTACATACTAACACAACATTTTGACATTATTGGCTTAACAGAGACCTGGCTGAAACCTAGCGTTGATAGTAGCAATGTTCACATTCCTTTATATCAATTTTTTAGATCAGACAGGTTTGGCAAAAGAGGTGGAGGGGTTGCTATGTATGTGAAGACAGGACTACGTTGTTCAGAGATCCATCATCTCAGTACTGAGGACGATGCCACATTAGAACAACTTCGGATAAAAATTAAAGTCAACAAACAAAACCTTACAGTCGGTGTTGTTTATAAGCCGCCTAATGTTGATTATCACACTTTAGCAAATTTGGAAGAAACCCTCACCGATTTTTATGCCGAATCTGCTAATGTAATATGCATGGGAGATTTTAATTTTTTAGCAATAGCGGACCTGAATACGTATTTTTATCAAACATGTTGAAAGACTTGCGTATGCAACAGGTTATCGAGGAAGAAACTAAAGTCTGTGGTAATAGCCCGATTGACCTTATCCTTGTAAGCAATAATGTTAATACTACAAAAAGTGGAACCCATATCAGATCACTTTTTTATTTACTTCTGTGTAGAGTGTCGGCAATCCACCACTTCTACTAAATATGTTTTTACACGTGATTTACAAAACATGGATAAAGTTCTGCTGGTTGAAGTTGCTTCTGTGTTATATTGGCTGGGAGTGGTTCACCTTGGCGATATTGACCTAAAAGTTCAATACTTCCATGATCTAATATTCAATGTGTACTTGATATATGTGCTCCTTATAAAACGAAAAAGATCAGTAAAGTTCGTCTTCCCTGGATTACGTCAAACATCAAATTTATGATACAGTTAAGGAACAAAGCGTATTCAAGGTACAAAAAAGTCGTAAAAAGCATGTGTTCTTCAGATGAAATTAATAACAAGTGGATATATTATAAACAGCTACGAAACCTGGTAACTGCTTCTATAAGACGGGAAAAAAGCCTATATTGAGCATCAGCTTAAGATAAGTAAGTCTTCTCGGGACTGGTGGAGGTCAATCAAACATCTTGGCATTCATGGGACGCATAACAATGATGAATTTGTAAATTCAATGGGAGCGGATTCATTAAATGACTTTCTCGTAAATGCTGTACCTGAGAAGCCCATTGATGAGAGTACATATAACCATTATCTACTGAAGAACAAATTCTTGAAAGTTTTAATGAAATCAAGTCGCACGCAACAGACCTGATGGGCTTAATATTGATATATTTTCATACGTTCTACCTTTTTGTGTGAAAGCTCTAAGGCACATTATTAATTTTTCGCTAGAATGTGGATGCGTACCAAAAAAATGGAAACCAGCTAGAGTGAGACCAAGACCTAAAAATGATAATCCACAAACTCCAGGAGACTATAGACCTATTAGTGTTCTACCGCTTTTATCTATACTAAGTGACATATAAATCCGAACACCCAGTTTAAATGGTTTTATTTTAATAAAAGTTGGTGAATGTATTTATCTTACTGTAAATAACAAGTGAAAAAGTGTTCAGCCTTATCAGTTGGACATTCCGGTTTTTATACTGCTTTTTTTTAATTCACTAACGCTCTAAAAATGAATATTTCAGCCGCAGTAAAGAATCAACGTTGGCGGATTTTGGTTCCTGACATCCTTTACGATCGGTTACGATGCCTAGAGTACGGAGACCTGTACGATTTCGTCAACTTAGTGAGTTTGATAGGGGCCGTATAGTGGGACTTCGGGAAGCTGGACTTTCTTTTCGGGCAATTGCAGTTAGAGTGCAAAGAAGTGTAGAAGACCCTGTGGTTAGGTGTTGTCAGGCATGGCTTCGAGAAGGCCGTACGCAAAGAGCAAGGGGCACTGGACGCCGCCGTAGAACAACAGACCGTGAAGATCGCCGCCTAAGATTATTAGCCTTAAGGGACCGTTTCTCCACTACCAGGTCCATTGCAAATGAATGGTTTGCAGAACACGGAAGACCTATTGGCATGCGAAGTGTTTACCGACGAATGAGAAGTTTTGGCTTGTTTTCATACCGGCCACACTGGGACCTCCCTTTAACTCGAGAACACCGACGTAATCGCCTTGAGTGGTGCAGACAATGGTCACTCTGGGATCAGGAATGGAACAGTATTGTCTTTAGTGACGAGTCTCGATTTTGTTTAGGCATGCACGATGGTCGTGCCAGGGTTAGAAGGCGACGTGGTGAAAGGAGGAATCCACAGTTTTTTGTTGAAAGACATGTTCATCACACTGTTGGAGTTATGGTTTGGGGTGCTATAGCTTATGGTTCCAGGTCACCTTTAATCTTCATCAGAGGTAACATGAACGCGCAGCGTTATATCCACGAAGTTCTAGAACCCCATCTTTTACCCTATCTTGACACCCTGGCAGATCCAACTTTCCAACAAGATAATGCCCGACCACATGTTGCAAGAGTCACAATAGTCTTCTTTCAACATAATGATGTCACATTGTTACCATGGCCACCAAGATCTCCCGACTTATCCCCAATTGAGCACGTGTGGGATATGATGGGTAGGAGATTGCTCACTTTGCAACGTCCTCCTCAGACTCTAAAAGTACTTCGAGAGGAGTTGGTGGTTGGCTGGAATGAGATACCACAGGAGGACATTGACCACCTGATCAGAAGCATGCCTAGGCGCGTTGGAGAATGCTTAGCACCGCAGGGTACATCCACACATTATTAAAGGTCAAAGGGCTTTAAAGCAGTGCAATCATTTTGAAATTTTTATCATTTACTTATTATGCTTCATTAAGTACTTATACAAAATTTTATTAAAATAAACCCATTTAAACTGGGTGTTCGGATTTATATGTCACTTAGTATAAAATCTTGAGAGAATTGTTCATGAACAAGTGTTATTTTATATTGAAAGAAATAAGTTAATCCCGAATAGACAATCAGGATTCCGAAAAAACCCACAGCACTGTTACAGTTTTAACTGATCTTTGCGCTATTGATGGTTCTTGTGTAACAACAGCTGTTTTGACTGTTTGAATCATAGAATGCTTCTAGCGAAGTTACATTACTTTGGATTTTCTCATGAATCAGTTACCTGGACGCGTACAGAGGGTCAAAGTTGGGCATTGTTTTTCTGATGAAAAGGAACTGGCTAAAGGTGTCACTCAGGGATCAATTTTGGGCCCGATTTTATTCACTTTGTATGTCTCAGACCTAGTTAACTCCATCAAGTTCTGTCGTGTGCACTCATACTCTGATGATACTCAGATTTACCTTTCATTCACTCCCTCTGCGTGTATCGAAGCAAACAGAATGTTAGCTGCCGATTTAAACAACTTATGTAACTGGTTCGAGAACCACGGCCTATGCATTAATTCGAAAAAGTCTGCTGTCATTACGTTCAAATCCAAACACAGTAATTTTGAGAGTAATCTAATGAATCTATGTATCGAAAATGAAACACTAGTTCATAAATCGACAGTACGCAATTTGATGAATATCTAACGTTCCACGATCTTGTCACAAAAATCGTTCAGAACTCTTACGCGAAACTTAAAACACTTTACAGTTGTAAATCTGTTCTGCCACAAAAAAACGAAAATTAGACTCTCTGACTCTCTGATTTTGAGTAAACTGCAATATGGTGATTCGGTTTTTGGTCCATGCCTGACACAGGCTGAGACGTACAGGACTCAAAAGGTTCAAAATAGTTGTGTTAGGTATTCTCTTGGTGTAGCAAGAAGAGAGAGAATTTCTAATCATTTAAAAGAAATAAATTGGCTTACGATGCGGCAGAGATGGATGGTTCACTTAATAACACTGGTCCACACTACACTGATGACAAACACGCCAATATATCTTAATAGTAAGCTTAGTTTGAGGTGTGAACAGCATTGCGTTAACCTACGATTTGTGTGTTACACCTTGGTATCATAAAACTGCTCCATTTAGGAAGTCATTTTCTTATATCGCACCCAATTTATACAATAGATTGCCATCAAGTGTAAAAACACTTTCCAAATTTAGTTTCGCAAAGAAGGTCAAGCAATTCGTTTTAGATAACATTGTTTCAATTTTTGAATAAATTTTAAGTGTCTTTGTTGTATCAGGCTGTTAATATGTATCTTGTACTAACCTATTCATCCTTTTTTGTATCGAGCTTTCTTCCAATGTGTTTAATGAGTGCCTTGTTAGTGTGTGTTCGTGACATTTATATTTTCTTTTAATCTGCTTTTTAATTTGTTTTTTCAATAAAATGTACTGTATTTTTTGTGTAGCTCTGGTTGGTGGTAAGAGCAGCTTCATAGCTGATACCCGCCAGGTAAAATAAAGGCATATTATTATTATTATTAAATTTTGATGATTTTTTAAAAACCAAATAAAATAAGCAAACATTGAATCAAGAGAATGACAAGTGACAGACCTCTTATTCCCAAGGTTTTTGAGCTCGGGAAGAAAAGCACACTTTTGACATTTCAGAAGAATTACTTTGTTCTATTTCCGAACGCTTGTAAGAGGTACGTCAAACAATTATACAACCCGCGGCATATGATTTGCATACTGACTTACACCCTATTGCGAAATATCGTACCTGACGTCGCACACAGGGTCTGGAAGGCCCATTCGGATTTTTCGCAACCTAATACCTCCGTTATTTCAAGGATGCTGTATGCGATACTATTTAAACTAGCTCACTGCTGCCTGACTTATACGCTTTGAAAAGGAACATTCCAACTTTTAGGACGCCTTGAGAGGAATTTTGCTCAAACTAATAAACAATCGGTTTGCTAGAATTCACTGTCAAAAATTATAGTTTGAATGCAATTATAATTAATGAAGCTTAATGCTTTTTTTCAGGCTCCAGAAAGGGATGAGTCCGCCAATGACGGTCAACCTAACGTCGCCATAGCAACCGCGGTAGCTGGTGGAGGAAGTCGTCATTTTTACCTTCTCCAGCCCGATGGAAGGTTGCAAAGGGTCACCTTACAGAAAACCCAGGAAACAGGAGATGAAGAGAATGAATACACTGCCAATTATCTATTCCAAAATATAGAACCAGAACCAAATGGCGTTTACGCTCCTCTAATCAGTCTAGTTAATAAATAAAATTTTGTAGTATTATAAGAATAAAAAAGATTATTTTTTCATACATGTTTATCTCCAGATGTTTTCTTGACCCTTCATTCTATTCTTTTTTGCAGTCTGAGGAGGTTAAGTCAACTTTTCTATAGTTCCTATGTATTGCCTGTTTTCAGGAATCAGCTAATGGGAATTGTTTTTTATTTCGGATATAGATAAAACGTAACCACATATCCCATGTCAGGCTGACAATGTCAGAAAAGATAGTCTATTACGTACTTTGGTGCACAAGTGTGTTCTCCGCCGGGGTATGAATAGCTTTGTTCACTATTAACTGTGATATATTACCACGTTTGATTTCATTAAGCTTCCGGCAACACGGCCAGAATAAAACCGACACAGTCTGGATCAAACGGTGCTTAGGAAATGCATTGTTCACGAGTACCCATCATGTTCTGACGTCTACCAAGGTGAACAGCATCACAAAAGCGAAACCTTTGTATTAGTCTCTAATGATGGCAATAATGTATTTCAGGACAGTATCCAGAGCTGGGAATTTTGACAATAAAATGCACGAAGCACAGATAATATAAAAATGTTTATTAGAAAATTATTATATTTCATTTGGTTCTTTGGATTTTTTTGCAGTGGTCTCAACAGTTGGCCCATACCTGTATTCAGGAACAATGCATTGTCTTAGTTTTCATGACTTCCTGCAATAGTTGTACATTTTAATCTTATCTTTCTAATTTCTAACTTGTTAGAATTACCTGAGTAATGTTCAGACCTAATTCAAGGACTCGAACATCTTCATTCATATGCTGCCACACATTCTGAATAAATTGTACGGCTGCTTCGTTGCCCTTTGAAGTCATATGGTATTTCAAGTTCCAAAAAGTAGAAATGATTAACATAGCGAAAAAGAGTCTATCTTATTTTATTTCTGCTTGACTTGAAATGTAGTCATGATCATTAGTAGCATTTTGCTTGTAGCGTTTCTTTATGTACGAAGGAACTTTCTACATAAAAGAGTTGTTAGCAGGAATAAAATGAATCTGTAACGAAAAAAACTACAAAATATTGATATGGGGAGTTTTCAAATATCACGAGATAATCAGCTGTTTTATTCAAACGTAATGGATATTCCAATTTATCAAGTAGGGTGGAATTCCGCGCTGTCAAAATAATGGCATAATTAAACGCAATCACCAACAATTTGACTTACTTGTCTACAGTGCCGTTCATAATTTACCTAGGGTTATTTCATTACCACTATTTACGTGGGTGAGAAATATAACTTCCTTTTGACACCCGAGTGTGAACTGCAACGCGCATGCGTTGCCCATTGTAAAAAGGTACCGCCACATTTATGTAATGCTCGTTTTTTTTTGTTTTTTATTATCGATAATCACTCGCATCGATAATCACTCGCATCGATATTTAAGATCTAATCGGATTCCGAACTTCAACTATCAGCATCTGGCATTTCCGTGGGCAATACAATCAGGTACACCCAATAAAAAACTAGTACACACCAAATTTTATAAAAACGGTTATCTGAGTTCAGTCTTTTCAAGTGATACGATCTAGTCAAAGTTGCAACGAAACTAAGATGCACGCAAACTCCCCGACGCACCTCAAAAACCATAAACCCAAATCATAAGGCACCCTAACAAAACAAAATCTTGTGCGATCTGCGCATGTCAGAAACTCCGAATTCCGACAAAATCACGTGTACTCTTTCGACCATCCGAAACCAGTTTTCAAACCAACAATTGATTGGCTGAAACAGCGGACCAGGAATCCCCATCTAGGTTTTACCCTTACTTGAATATTTTTTCTCCAATGAGCATGCTCAGTCGGTTTCAAACCGTTGGAAATGTGATGCTAGAACATTTCTATAATAGAGGGTGTTTCAATAAGAACGCAATATTTCAAGGTTCTACAATCATGACATTTCGTAATAAACAACTGAAATATTTATTGGATTATGGTGTCACTTCGGAATTATGTATGGAACAACCCACCAGGTAAATGGTTGCCACGGCTCCGCTGGCACATGCGCACTCTTTCAATAAAATTTGTGATAACATTTTTGTACACATGTCGTGGTATCTCATTGATACACCGTCTGATTTCAGCTTTCAGTGCTCGGTGGCTTCGGGCTTGTTAGCATAACCAAACCGGGAGATGACTCAACCAGAAGTAAACTCGTGCAACACTGTCAATGTTTCACGAGCAGTATGGCGTGTGGCACCATCCTGCTGAAACCATATGTCATTAAGATCTATATGGCTTCTAATTGTGGCACAAAAAAATGAGTATCATTGCACGATAACGTTCGCCATTCGCTGTTACTGAATTACCCGCCTCGTCCTCAAATCAAAACGGTCAATAGTTCCTCCAGACCATAGTGTACACCAAACAGTGACACGTTTTGGATGCATAGGTTTTTCATGAATTACTCTTGGATTCTCTGTGCCCCAAATGCGGCAGTTTTGCCTATTGACGAAGCCATCGAGATGAAAATGGGCCTCGTCGCTAAAAATGATTTTGTCCGCCAAATCAGCATCCACATCCTGTTGGCCAAGAATCCAATCCACTCCCTACGCTACGTATGGTCTGTTAGCATAAGCTGTTGAGTCAATTGGACTTTGTAGGCATGCAGGTGTAAATCCTTTTAAAATACGCTAGAGATTGGCTGTTTTAATGTCCAATTCTTGAGCCCGATGACGAAACGCCATCCTTGGAGCCCATGTTTGCAATCTGCTCTGATATTTTCTTCCGAACGGCCGCTGCGAGCTCGTCTTGTATGTTTGACTACTATTCATCATTTGTTTGTCTGGGCGGTCCGTAGGACCTTTGCCCATTAGTCACTGTCTAATGTACGTTAGTCGAATCTGTCAGTCCTGGTTGCCCAGAAACCAGATAATGTCAAGGAAGAAGAGAAAGGGAAAGAGAAGGAAAAAGGAGAAGAGCAAAGCAAAACAGAAGTGTTTAGTTTAAGAGGAAACACCTAGACTTTTTGATTTGGTACCCGGATTAATTTTGAGGTGAACTAAAATTCTGATTCGGTTTTGTTAGAGTGTAATTTTATGTTTACTAAAGGTTCGCGCTAATTTTTGATTAAGTGCGAGCCGTGGCATTGAATGCTTACGAACTTGCTCCACTGTGTAGTCCACTGAGTCGCGCAACAGAGGGTTGCTGTGCAATTCCGCTTCACTGTAACGTCGCTGCGCCTGAAACTTGACATAATCCCTCAAGTAAGGAATGTCAAGGTCTCTGTGTGGTGTCTTGTTTGAGACATACCATGCAGTGTTGCAGTACTTGAAGACTTTGCATGAGTGTCTTGGCAAGAAAACACCAAGCCGCACATGCATAAGTAATGGCTGGTCTAATAATCATTTTATATAGGCGAACTTTGTTTATTAAACTCAATTTGGAGGATCTACATAACAAAGGATATAGTTGCCGAAAAGCAATTTGGAATTTTGTTTTCAAGGCTGCTGTATGTTTCTGCCAGGACATGCCTTTATCAACGGTAACACCAAGGTAGTTGGCAGAATGTGTTCATGGTACACGATTGCCGTCTACAGAAGCCTCTGCTGGGGCGCCGCGACGTTTTTTGGTACAATAAATAGCCTGCGTTTTCGAATGATTAATTTTAATCAGCCACCGTTCCGCCCACTCTAGTACTTCTTCCACCGCAATCTGCAACCCATCGTGAACCAGATCACCAGTACGCGACTGGGCGACAAGTGCAGTGTCGTCAGCATAGAGGTAGACTTCACAGTTGCTGGGGCAAGGGACATCATTGATAAAAAGCGAATAAAGGATTGGTCCTATGACCGAACCCTGAGGAACACCGGCCCGTATTGGCCGTGTTGTTGACAAAACATTGTTAATTTTGATCCGAAACTTCCTTCCTTCAAGAAAGGATTTCAGTAATTTAGAAGCCAAAAATGAAAACCCTTTTGGATTAGTTTATAAAAGAAGCCCGCGTGCCACACCTTGACAAAGGCTTTTGAGACATCCAAAAGCAAGATGCCACTACTCATGCTGAGGGTGAACCAGCCTGACTACCTGTAGCTCGATGCTATGCTCGGACCGAAAACTGAATTGAACGTCAGGAATCACATAGTGATTTGACGAAAAATTTTCAAGAGGGCGATAAATCACCTTTTCGGCGAGCTTATGTGCTATTCCAGACTATAATAATAATAATAATAATAATAATAATAATAATAATAATAATAATAATAATAATAATAATAATAATATATTTCCATTCGACTTGTACAAACAAGTATGGGAAAGTGTCATAAATAATTAAACATTACACTGAATGGGTTGAATATACATATAGATATGTATATCTACATATATACTTCCGCATCTTAAATTTACATAAATAGATCACGTCACATTATTAAAAACATATAGGATATCTAACAATATTAGAGTACATAAACAGCACGACAAGAGCACGATAAAATGTAAACTAAAATTGATGGTTGAGGTACTCGTCAACAGAGTAAAATGGATATAGCAACAAATCTCGTACTTTGCGTTTGAAGACTGAAATAGATACCATGCCCTTAATCGACACGGGTAAGTGATTAAACAATCTCATAAGCATGACAAAAGCCCCTTTGGAGATAGAGGCAAGCCTATGAGTAGGTATAACTACATTGTGGTTTGTACGGAGGTTATAACAAGAGCTGATAGCCACATCATTTCTGGAGACAGCTTTCGTAATTTTCTTTAACATAAACGACACACTTATAAACATACAAGGAGTATACTGTCATGATCTTCAGGTAACTGAATAATTCTCTGCATGAATGCCTGGAGTTTTTAAGCAACATGGTTCTGAAATCCTTTTTTGTACTATGAATAATTCACCAACCCTGTTACTACCACCCCAAGCAACAATGCAATAGCTTAGTGTGGAATGGACGTGAGCGAAGTAGTAAAGCTTTAATATTTCAGTACTTACGTGACGTCGAAGCTGCCATATAATGAATGGTTGGGTTGACAATCGCTTGATCAAACACTCAATATGTTTACCAAATGTT